AAAAAAAATAAACAGGAGGAACTGGATTATAAAGTATAGGAAAAAAGTGTATGTATCATTGAACTTCTAGAATCACCACTAAACTAGAGTGAAACTGGCAAATCACCTCAAAAAGAAGGCAAATAATTAGGTCAAAGGAAATTTTTTTGTATGCATTAACAAACCCCAACCTTTCTCTCTGACATCAGGAATCTGAGATTCATTCATACAAAGCGCAAGCTTTAAAGACACATTCAGCAAAGGCAGGAAACAAAACCCATGAGGTAAATTAGATATTCTGGAGATAAGGTATTCTCACCCACGGAGACCAGGTTTCTATAGTTCTCTAACATCACATCCCTGTGCAAATTGCGCTGAACGGGGTCCAAGCATTCCCACTCTTCTGGAGTAAATTCTATGGTGACATCCCTGAATGTCAACCATCCCTGAAATAAAAATAAATAAATATATTACACATTGACCAAGAGGCCATGAGCAGAGTTTTTAGGATCCAGGTATTCCCATTCCTCCAGAGAATTATGTGCTCATATAACTACACATCAATAATCCCTGAATAAATGAAAAAAGTGCAGAGTTCTAAATTGGACCCCAGATAAAATAAGGGGATTAAGACCAGGCCTGGTAGCTAATGTCTATAATCCTAGCTCTTTGGAAGGCTGAGGCAGATAGATTGCTTGAGCTTAGGAGTTTGAACCAGCCTTAGCAAGAGCAAGATCCCGTCTCTAAAAAAAACAGCCAGCCATTATGGCAGGCACCTGTAGACCCAGCTACCTGAGAGGCTGAGGCAAGAGAATCATGTGAGCCCAAAAGTTTGAGGTTGTTGTGAGCTATGAGTTGTGATGCCATGACACTTTACCAAGGGTGACAACCTGAGACTCTGTCTCAAAAAAAGAAAAAAAAAAGAATCAGTTGGGTCTATTCTTCAGATGGAAAAGTTATGGTAAGTTAGAAGTACATTTCTCACTTGGTGTGTCTGTGTGTGTTGAATAATTATAATGCAGATTAATTCAGGAGATTGAGTGAGGCTGAGATTTTTTGTTGCTAACAAACTCAGCAGTGCTGCTGAAGCCTAGAGTTTGAGGTTGCTGTGAGCTGTGATGTCGCAACACTCTACTGAGGGTGACATAGTGAGACTCTGTCTCAAAAAAAGAAAAAAAAAAGAATCAGTTGGGTCTATTCTTCAGATGGAAAATTCTCAGATAATTTAAGAGCATGAGAAAGAAGACAACATGAGTGGCATCCATAGCTCATTGGGCAGGGTGCTGGCCACTCACACTGACGCTGGCAGGTTTGAACCTGGCCCCAGCCACCTAAAACAATGACAACTGCAACCAAAAAATAGCTGGACAAGCCAAAACACTGGCTATTTTTTTGTTGTTGTCATTGTTGTTTAGTAGGCCCAGGCCAGGTTCGAACCTGCCAGCCCCGGAGCATGTGGCAGGCACCCTAACCACTGAACTATGGGTGCTGAGCCAGAGCAAGCCATGGAACATTTGCTTCATACTAGATGTCATTCTAGCAGTTTTTTTTATTAGAAAACTCTGAAAACTCTAATAAAATCCAGTTTTTATTAGAAAACTGGTGCTTAAAACCACAGAAATAATCTATGAGAAAAATAGTGCTTTTTTTGGACAATATTTTGCTAATTATTCTGTAAAAAGTAGAACTTAGGTCTTACCCCAGTTTATCAGATTTAGATTTTATCTCAAGGGGACATACAGGCTAAGATACAAAGCCAATCTCAACCAAATGTTCACAGCAGACTTCATAACTGAAAAGAGTAATGAAAAAAGTTGTCACCTATACAAACAAATGTTTACATTTTCTACACAGAAATGGTAACTCTAAGCATATTAAGTTATAGACTAGAACATTTTTGTGTAAAATAAATATTTTAATTGTAAAAGAATTAGAAATCTCTGATTTTTTTTGCAGTTTTTTTCTCTCCTGGTTTTTAAACAAGCATACTATGAAGACTACCATACATGAACATATTAACTAAAATGAAAGATACTGATCCTGATCATTTTCTTTTTCCAATTTTATTTCTCTCTCTCTCTCTCTCTTTCTCTCTCTCTCTCTCTCTATATATATATATACTTTTTGGGTGCTGTGGCATCACAGCTCATAGCAACTTCAAACTCTTGGGCTTAAGTGATTCTCTTGCCTCAGCCTCCCAAGTAGCTGGGACTATAGGCGCCCACCACAACACCCAGCTATTTTCTTTGTTGTAGGTGTTATTGTTGTTTTAGCCAGTCCAGGCCCGAACCTGCCAAACTCCGTGAATGTGGCCAGTGCCCTACCCACTGAGCTAAGGGCACCACCCTGTTTTATATATTCTATGTTATATTATGAAAGTTTGAG